ATTTTTTATTTTATATTTGCTTTTTTCTTTTTTTCTTCACATTCTGTAGGAATTTAAAGTTTAACATATCAATGCTTGATGAAATACCTGCTCCATGTTATGTCTAAGATGTTCAATATTCAGAGAGATAATAAGGTTAAGCACAACTTCTTATGTTGTAGAGTAATGATATCATTGAGCTTCTCTTCTGGAGGGTTAACAATTTAAGTTTGCAGACCAAAAATTAGAGAAAAAGAAGGGCTACAAAGATAGCCAACATTTGGCTCTAGCCATTCAAGGTCAGTGAAGACTCAGCACATAAGACAACCTGTATTGTGACATCATGGAGATTAGAAAGCCACAGAGGAAAGTGATCAATGATGTATAATGATGTATAATGTGCCTAAGGAAAGTCAGCTAGAGAGAAAACATTCTCTCAGGCTTTCACGGAGAGCAAAATGGTCAAGCAATGGCTGTGACTCATCCACATGGCTGACACTGACAAAGGATCTGCGAACTGTGGTACAGGGTTTCAAGGTAAATCCTGAAGGGATTTGACTGATCTTGTCATATAGAAAAGTTACATTTCTTGATATATAGGTCTTGCTTTATCTTGGCCTTAATCATTCAGCAGAAAAGTATAAAAATGAGGTTTAAAAAGTAAAGCCATCTTAATATGCTAAGCTGTAAAAGGCTCAAATCAACAACTTCTGACATTGTCAGTCCTATGGATAACTCACTACTATTATGGACTACTGGGCTATATTGGAATATTTTGCTGATTTCATGAACTTACAATATTTAAATGGTAATGGAACACCCATCTCTGACAAAACTAAGCAAAAAAGGGGGCCATAAATGAAGGACCATTTTGTATCTGTATATACAAAATAGTTAAGATAGATACACAGCTACTTTCTCTTAATTCAGTGAGAAGAATAATTTGTACTAGTAGTGTTTGCACAGGATATCATGTCTGCATCTTTTTTTTTATTTTATTTTTTCAAAATTTTATTGATAAACAGATAGCAATGAGACAGTTTCAAATCAAATCGAAAGTATAGTTTCAACAAATAA